CTTTCATTCTCAAAGAGGACCATGACATCAGGGAGATGATGACATGACTTGCAATTGACTTTGATTTGAGTGAGGGAGGGCTGTGCAAAGTCACCAGCCTCACTTTCTCCTCCAGAGCCATCCGGGCCCAGTGGCCAGATATTCATCAGGATGACTTGAGATGCCCCCTAATTGAATATCAATTATTGATTCAATGAGATAACAGTTTTCTCATTGAATCAAAGTGGGGAGGAATTGAAAAAAATTGATTCTACAGCATTTTATAATTGATTCTATTCTCTAATTGATTTGTATTAGCACCCAATTTTGTACAACTGCTCAAGGTACATCTTTTTGACTATGAGTTAAGTTTAGAAATTCAGTTCTGTCAATTATTGTTCTATTCTTGCTTCAAGGAAATCTATAATCCTTGAAGGATGCAGGTAGACATCAGGGAGTCTGACTTTTTTTTATTAATTTATTTTGAATTATCAACAATCACCTCCATAAGCTTTTGAGTTTTAAATTTTCTCCCCCTCTCTTCCCACCACCCTCACCTAGATGGCATATAATCTGATACAGGCTATACATATACATTCCTATTAAACATATTTTCACATTAGTGATGTTGTAAGTAAGAATTAGAACCAATAGGAGGAACCACCAGAAAGGGAAACAAAACACAACAGAAGAGAAAAAAAATAGCAAATAGTATGCTTCAGTCTGCATTCAAACACCATAGTTCTTTCTTTTTTGTGGATAGCATTTTCTATCAGAAGGCCTTTGGAGATGTCTTAGATCCTTGTATTGCTGAGAGGGGTTAAGTTTATCAGTATTAGTCATTGCACAATGTGGCTGTTATTGTGTACAACATTCTCTTGGTTCTGCTCACTTCACTCAGCACCAGACCACACAAGTCTTTCCAGGTTTTTCTGAAGTCAGCCTGTTTATCATTTCTTATAGCACAATAGTATTCCATTTCATTCATATAACACAGCTTGTCCAGCCATTCCCTAGTTGATGGGCATCCTCTCAATTTCCAACTCTTTGCCGCCACAAAAAGAGCTGCCACAAATATTTTTGTACATGTGGGTCCTTTCCCCATTTGTATGATCTCTCTGGGATATAGCCCTAGAAGTGCTAGTGCTGAGTCAAAGGGTATGCACATTTTTATAGCCCTTTGGGCCTAGTTCCAAATTGCTCTCCAAAACGGTTGGATCATTTCACAACTCCACCTACAATGCATTAGTGTTCCAATTTTCCCACATCTTTTCCGACATTTATCATTTTCCTGTTTTGTCACGTTGGCCAATCTTATAGGTGTGATGTGGTACCTCAGAGTTGTTTTGATTTGCATTTCTCTAATCAGTAATGATTTAGATCATCTTTTTCATATGACTATAGATGGCTTTAATTTCTTCATCTGAGAACTGTCTGTTCATATCCTTTGACCATTTATCAATTGGGGAATGACTTGCATTCTTATAAATTTGACTTAATTCTCTACATATTTTAGAAATGAGGCCCTTATCAGAGAGACTGGTTGTAAAAATTCTTTCCCAATTTTCTACTTTCCTTCTAATCTTGGTTGCATTGGCTTTGTTTGTGCAAGAACTTTTCAATGTAATGTAATCAAAGTTACCCATTTTGCTTTTTGTAATGTTCTCTATCTCCTGTTTGGTCATGAATTTTTCTGTCCTCCATAAATTGGATAGGTAAACTATTCCTTGCTGTCTCAGTTTGCTTACAGTATCAGCCTTTATATCTAAATCATGAGCCCATTTTGACTTTATTTTAGTATATGGTATGAGATTTTGATCTATGCCTAGTTTCTGCCACACTCTTTCCCAGTTTTCCCAGCAGTTTTTGTCAAAGAGTGAGTTCTTATCCCAGAAGCTGAGGTCTTTGGGTTTATCAAATAATAGATTACTACAGTCATTGACTACTACTGTGTCTTGCATACTTAACCTATTCCACTGATCCACCTCTCTATTTCTTAGCCAGTACCAAGCAGTTTTGATGATTGCTGCTTTATAATAGAATTTAAGATCTGAAATGGCTAGGCCACCTTCCCCTGCATTTCTTTTCATTAGTTCCCTTGATATTCTGGACTGTTTGTTCTTCTAAATGAATGTTGTAATTATTTTTTCTAACTCTATAAAATAATTTTTTGGTAGTTTGATTGGTATGGCACTGAATAAGTAAATTAGCTTAGGTAGAATTGTCATTTTTATTATGTTAGCTCTGCCTACCCATGAGCAACTGATGTTGAGTCTGGCATTTTTTTATACCACCAAACTATCCTTTAAGGATGTCTGGTTTGTTATCCAAAGAATTCTGGTCTGTTATCTTTAACCTTGTAGCTGGACTCATTAAAAATTTTCTGGTCACAAGGTCACAAGAGGTAAAGAAGAGGTTCTTCCCAGCACCTCATTCCCAATTTCTAACCAGCCATGTCATCCTGACCCCCCATAAAGCTACCAGCCCTTTAACCAATTGCATTATTTTTTTATCACCTACCCAACTCTGTTCTTTGTTCTCTTCTTATCAAAAGGAGCTGCACCTCCTCCTCTGCCTCATTGACCTATTTGAGGTAACCATTTGACTGACTTTATTAATAGGTTTACATTCTACTAATAAACTGATAAACCTCAGAATTCTGTGCCTCTGTTTAATTTTTATTAAACTTCATCAAGCCACTGTCAAAACATCTGTGAGCATTAGGCCTCTCCAACAGCTCAGAGCTGAATCTGAGGCAGAGTTAAATTTTAGTGCAGGAGGTAGCTTTGATCTCAGAGACCAGCTTCCAAATTTTAGATCACTGCCTTCCCTTTCTGCTAAAACAGTAAATCTTCACTTTACTAAGAAGAGTAGGATAGGGAGGATTGGGTTCATTTCTATACATATTCTTAGAAGCATCTATACTTTAAGACAATCCAAGGGAAACAAACCCTGAAGATCCCTACTACAGTTTTCAGCTAAAACTCACTCTCCTTATAATTCAGAATTCTACTTTAAAAGATTATTCATGAATCACAAATTTAGTTTTTCTTTAGTTTCCACTTCCACAAATTTCTGAAGATATGGGAATGGAAGCTATCCCAAACTTCCTTATACTCTTATTGCCCTTTGCATTTCAACCTGGTCCAAATGAGAATGCAAGGAGAAAGTTATGTCTTTTTAAATTTTAGGAACTCATAGTTCTTGTTCCTTCTATACCTTTTTTTTGGCTCATCAGACTACTGGAAAAAATAAGTTTATAAATAAAAATATTTGTGGCAACATATATTCACTGTACATGACAAGAAATGCACAGAAGAAAAACTGGTTTTCTTAGACAGTTAAGCATGCCTTGTTTATTCTTGTGGAGAAATCACTTTCATTATGACCAACCACTTGACTAGAAATCAAGGAAATACAGAGAGTTCAGGGAGGGAGAACAGAGACCACTGAGCCAGGATTGGAGATTAATTTAGATTGGTCAAATCAACCTCAACCTTACCTATACCGATGAGACAGTGTGTGTTTGTCCAGTTACAAAGATGACTCTGACAGAAGCTCTCACTCTGAGAAGCATTGGAGAGCTTGACCCTTTCCTGACTGGCCCTCAGTGAGTTAGAGTGCTGAATTGACCGGTTGTGGATATTTCCAGTTGAACGCCCTAATAGGAGTAACTAGTGCTGCTACCTGGTGGCTCAATAAGGAAGCGTTTTCTACCTACTAGTTCTGTAAGAAAAGGAACTATGTCCTTGGTGAGGAAGTAAGTTGGTCAATGTGTCCAGGACAAATTGTCAGCATTGCTTGAGGTGATATTCTTTCCATAGATATAAGTTGGACTGGATGGTTTATTATGGTCCTCCATTCCTTTTAAAAATTATTCATATATTTTACTTTAACCTCATCCTACGCTCCCTGGATGCTTTCTTTTCAATATCATTATACTTTGGGTTTTTTTTTGAAGAAAGAAAACAGACATTAGCCTCAGGATATTACCAATTTGAGGCCTTCAAAATGTTTTCCACATAAAAATTATGTTTCAAAGATTTTTTCTTCTTTAATTTCTTTTTTACTTTTAAAAATTTCTAACATTTTTATTTAAAGTTTTGAATTCCAAATTCTAACTTTTCCTGCTTCTTTCCCCTCCCCCCTCCATGGGATAATAAGCAATCAGACATAGCTTATACATGTGCAATTATGTAAATTACGCAACCTTTTCTGTATTTGTCATTTTGTATAAGAAAGCTCAAATAAAAGAAAAATGAAAGATAGAAGGTGAAAAAGAGCATGCTTCAGTCTTCATTCAAACAACATCAGTTCTTTCTCTGTCCAGTATGCTACATCATCAGTCCTTTGGGATTGTCTTGGATCATTGTGTTGCTGAGAATGGCTAAGTCATTCACGGTTCTTCATCAAACAATGTTGCTGTTATTGTGCTCAATGTTCACCTGGTTCTATTCGCTCTCCTTTGCATCAGTTCATATAAGTCTTTCCAGGTTTTTTTTCCTGAAATAATCCTGCTTGCCATTTCTTACAGCACAATAATATTCCATTACAATAAAAAACCACAGCTTGTTTAGCCATTCCCCAATTGATAGGCATCCCCTGATTTCCAATTCTTAGCGAACACAAAAAAAGCTGCTAAAATATTTTTGTACAAATAGGTTCTTTTCCCATTTTTGGATGTCTTGGGATACAGACCTACAAGTGCTATTTCTGGATCAAAGGGTATACACAGTTCTGTAGCCCTTTGGGCATAGCTCCAAATTGCTCTCCGGCATGATTGGATCAGTTCACAACTCCACCAAAAGTTCATTATTGTCTGTTTTCCCACATCTTCTACAATATCCAACATTTTCCTTTTTTGTTATATTAGCCACTCTGATAAGTTCTTTTTCTAGTTTTTTAAATTGCATGTTCAATTCAGAATAAAAATCCTAAGAATCGTCAACTGGAGATCATTCCCTGACCCTAGTGTCAATATTCCTAAGCCACCCCCTGCTTCTATGAAGTGAGAGGTTAGTCTAATTTTTAGGGTCTAATCCAGGTATCATTTGATATGGTGATTGCTTTCCTCTAACTGAAGCTTTCAGCAAGTCATCCTGGGCAGAGAATATCAAGCTTTTATCCAGGTTAAAATGTAAGGTTTTCTTCCCACAAAGAGTATAGAAGTACCTGGGAACTTCTGAGTCACTGCTGATCAGCACATAGGGGCTAGCAGCCGGGAAACATGAAGTTGGGAAAGCAGAGGTATGCATCAACCAGAGTGGGGACTTTATAAACAATATATATGCTGTCACAATGCAATTGAGTAAGTAAGAGGAGATAAAGGTGCTCACGAGGAGTAGGATAGTTATGGTAGCCCTGGTCTCGGGGAAGGCTCTGCAGGACAGGCAGGTAATGTGAATTTGCTGGACTTGCTTGTGATGCCTATACAGGACAATCACCATGTAGCCACTGGCAGAGACCATAAGTCCCAAATACATAGCATCAAGAAAGGAGAGAAAGGTTGCAACTAATGAGGCATGAAATGCAGAGGGAATTTTATAAGAACAATATCCATGATTCTGTATCTTAGTGATGTTTCTGTTTTGCCTTGGTCCCTTAATTCCCCAAGGAATATAGCTGGAAAAAAGCAGATGAAAAGTCCAACAGAAGAGACTAGAGTGAATGAGGTATTTTTGGGCTCTGACTTTAAGCTCTGCCCAATTGGAATTGTTGGGGCTGATAGTGATGGTCTGAAAGCCACTCAGGAAGCAGGTCATGCTGAGTGAAAGGTCCCGAGCTACTTTGTGAAGGTAGAAAATAATTTTACAGCCATTTTCACCTAGGAAATTCATGAGACCCAAAGCTGTCATTGTCTGAGGGATGCCCTTCAAGAGAAGCACCAAGCAGTTGACCAAGGCCAACTGAATGACAATAGTGTCTATAGGCCTCATCCTAGGTCCACTGAGAAACACAAAAATCAAGAGACAAATGAGGAAGGAATTCCCTAGAATTCCAATACCTGCCTGGGAGAAGAAGGCAATACTCAGGATCGTGTCTTTAAACTTCATGATAGGAGTATCTTGGTGGAAGAACTGTCATCAAAGGTCAAGGGACGTAGAGAAAAGTAAAAGCTGACGTTATTTGTGGGCATTGACTCCTTAATCCCACCTAGCGGTTCCTATGGAAGGTGTTTCCTTCGTACTTGTCTTTCATCTTTAGAGCAGGGAAGTTGGTATGAATGGAGTGATGCTATTCTTAACTTCTTTTTATTTTAGTAACATTTAAGGAAATACTTAAATAATTAGCCCTATAAAAATAATCCTGTCACAGAACGCAGCGTTTAATGATTGATCAGGGACATAAGATGAATAAAAGTAAAACCCTGAAAGACAGGGTTTCTGGGTAATTAATAGTCAATTTATTAATTAGTCTGGTTGGCAATCAGTAAATGGTTGGTCAATGATTTCTCTCCACAACCAAAACACAGCTCAATGGAGAGACTAGAAGCTTTAAATAGCCCTTGAAAGGAAAATCCCTAGACAACTAAAATCTACACTGACTGGTGGACATTTAATGAGGAGGTGGGCTAAAAGTCTGCAGCTCCTTCTGCTGAGAATGTGTCTTGATTATGAGATTCAGACACTTCCAGCAATCTAGACAGAGGAATCCATCTCCTACTAGACTACTCTGATTGGTTTTCTCCTTTATGAGCTGGTTCTCCCTAAACACTAATGGAGAGGTAAAAGGATGGGGACTCCTTTCCCCAAGGTAAGAACTCATCCAGACTGCATTCCATTGGGATGGCCCAGTGAATAGAGCACTGGTCCTGGATTCAGGAGGACCTGAGTTCAAAATCTGGCCTCAGACACATAACATTTACTAGTTGTGTGACCTTGGCAAAGTCATTTAACCCCATTGCCTAGCCAAACAACAACAACGGCAACAACATAATACATGGTTAACTTTTGTGTAGGTGCCATGTACAGCCAATAAAAATGTATATTCCTTTTTTCCCATTCAGTTTTCTACAGACATCTATCATATCTAGCTTTTCTGGAATTTTATTCACCTCTTTAATTTCTTTCTCATTTATTTTTTGGTTAGGTTTATTTAGTTCTGAGAGGGGAAATTTGAAGTTCCCCACTAGTACAGTTTTTAAAAATCTGTTTCTTCCTGTAACTCATTCAACTTTTTTAAAAAAAAATTTAGATGCTGCACCATTTAGTGCATATATGTCTAGTATTTATATGACTTCATTGTCTACGGTATCTTTCAATAAGATATAGTTTTCTTCTTTTTCTCTTTTAATTAGATCTCTTTTTACTTTTGCTTTGTCTGAGATCATGATTGCTACCCCTGCTTTTTTTTTGCTTCATTTGAAGCCTAATAGATTCTGCTCTAGCCCCTTACATTTGCCCTGTATGTATTTCTCTGCTTCAGATGTCTTTCTTGTAATCAACATGTTGTAGGATTCTGATTTTTAATCCATTCTGCTATCCAGTTCTATTTTATGAGAGAGTTCATCTCGTTCACATTTGTGATTATAACTGTGTATTTCCCTCTATGATAACTGTGTACTTCCCTCCATCTATGTTTTGCTTGTTTATCCAACTCTCTTACCACCCTCCCCACTTTTTCCCTCCTCAGAAGAATTTTACTTTTGATCTCTGCCTTCCCCAATACACCCTTCCTTTTATCAGATCACTCTCCTCCTTCTATTATCTCCATCCCTTTTTACTTCCTTCTAGGGTAAGATTGAACTCTACATCCAACTAAGTGTACATGTTATTTCCTCTTTGAGCCAATTTTAATGGGAGTAAAGTATAAACTTTGCCTGCCACCCTCCAATCCCATATTTTCCTCCATTATAATAGTTTTTTCATGCCTCTTTTATTTGGGATAATTTACCCCATTTAATCTCCCCCTACTTTTTCCAGTTTAATTTTCTTTCTCACCCTTTTTTTGGGTATAATCCCATCAAAGTCACCTTATGTCCACTCCCTCTGTCTCCATATACTCATTATAGCTTTTACAGTAATAAAGTTGTTAAGAGTTATAAATATTATCTTGACATATAGAAATATAAACAATTTAACATTATTGAATTCCTTTTGTTTTCTCTTTCTTTTTTTTAATTTTTTTATGGTTCCCTTGATTCTTGTATTTGGAGGTTAAATTTTTTATTCATCTCTGGTTTTTTAATTAGGAATGCTTAAAAATCCTCTATTTCATTAAATGTTCATTTCCCCCCTGAAAGATTATATTCAATTTTGCTGGGTAGGTGATTCTTGGTTGTAATCCTAACTCCTTTGCCTTCTGCTATATCATATTCCAAACCCTGTGGTTCTTTAATGTGGAAGCTGCCAAATCCTGTGTAATCCTGACTGTAATTCCATGATATTTGAATTATTTCTTTTTGGCTGCTTGCAATACTTTCTCCTTGATCTGTGAGCTCTGGAATTTGGCTATGATTTTCCTGGGAGTTTTCATTTTGGGATCTCTTTCAGATGTTGATTGCTGGTAGATTCTTTCGATTTCTTTTTTGTCCTCTGGTTCTAATATATTAGGGCAGTTTTCTTTGATAATTTCTTGAAAGATGTTGTCTAGGCTGTTGTTTTTTTTTTATCATGGCTATCAGGTAGTCTATTAATTCTTATATTATCTCTCCTGGATCTATTTTCTTGGTCAGTTATTTTTCCAATGAGAAATTTCACATTTTCTTCTCATTCTCCTCCTCCTCTTCCTCCTCCTCTGATTTTGTTTTAGTGTATCTTGATGTCTCATGGAGTCATTAGTTTCCATTTGTTCATTTCTACTTTTTAAGGAATTTTTTTTTCAATGAGCTCTTGTACTTCCTTTTTCATTTGGCTAATTTTATTTTTTAGGTAGTTATTTTCCTCAGTAAATTTTTGTTTATCTTTTCTCATGCTATTAACTTTTTAAAAAAATGATTCTCTTGCATTACTCTCATTTCTTTTCCCAATTTTTCTTCTACTTTTCTAATTTGCTTTTTAAAAATCTTTTTAAAGTGCTTCCAGGAATTCTTTTTGGGCCTGAGACCAATTTACATTTTTCTGTGAGGCTTCACATGTAACCATTTTGACACTATTGTCCTCTTCTAAGTTTATACCTTGATCCTCCCTATCACCATAGTAACTTTCTATAGTTGAGCCCCCCCCTGTTTTTTGCTCTTTTTTTTTTGTGATGGTGTTTTTATGTGAGAATTGGGTTCTGGTTCTGCACTGTCCCAAGTTATTTGTGCTGGGGCTCTGAGGCTTCCTGCTAGCTTTCACTGGGTTTCCAGGCTTAGCTGCCTGCTTTCTCTGGAGGGTGGGATTCTCTTTTGGCTTGTGCTGGGGTTTGGGGACTCCATATTGTACTCCCCTGGCCAGCTCCAGGGCCTTGATGGTCAGTTGCTATGGTAACAGAGTTACTCTGTTGGCAGGCCCCAGGAATGGTGTCTTGCTGTTGGCCAGCCCTCGGGTGAGGCTTCACTACTGGTCAGCAGTGGGGTCAAGGCCTCACTGGTGGCTTGTACTGTAAGTGGGATCAGTAGGGTGGAGCCTTGCTGAGCTGCCCAGGCTCCTCACTTGCCTAGGGTTTTGCTGGTTCACAGGAGGTCAGAACCTTATGGGTGGATTGCTCCAGGCTTGGAGCTTTGCTTAGGTGGGGGGGGGTTGCTGCTCCTAAATAATTCTGTGGCAGTGTTCTATTTGTTTGGAGGGGAATTTGTTAGGGTTTCAGAGTGTTCCTTCCTTACTCGGCCCTCTTGGCACTGGAAGTTTTCTGTTTATACTCTAAACAGAAGTTAAGTCTCCTAGTCGGTGATATTCCACCTAAGATTGAAGAGCATATTCCTTGAGGGCCAGGAATAATCTCTTCAATCAATTATGTCTTTCTGTAATTGGCTTTAACAGAAGCTGTGCCTTAATGAGGCAATTAAAGAGAAAAGCCTATATCCCAATTTAATAAGTAGTTATTTATGTAAAAGTAAAATAATTTCTCTTTGATAGGTGTGTGACCTATGGTGTTAGTATTATCAAACTGAAAGTTGGTTGGAAGCCACTTTTCTAAATCTGCATAGAGAACTAATCAATCTTAATTAATTAACACTCATTTGTGAAGTGCCTATTATGTGCCAGGGACTGAGCTAAGCACTGGAGATACAAAGATGCAAGTCAAACTTTACTTGCCCTCAAGGATTCTAATGAACCAAGAAACCTATCCTTACACAAACGTCCATAGAATGAAGCTGTGTCATGATGCAGGCAGCTGAGTAAGCTCAGGGAGGTCCACTTCAGCCACGCTTAACTATAGAATCATAGTCCTTTACAATGACAGAGATTGCTTCGTGTGTGTATATTTGAGTGTATTTTCTTTCTTGTGGGAATAGAGATGTCTACATTCTAAGGACTACTTCTATGTCATCAATGTTCCTCTACCCCAGCTATCAGAAGACCTCATTAATAATTTGCACTCAATGGATGTTAGATACTTTAAGAATGAATGGATGGATCAATGAATGTTATATATGTTTACATGTTTCTGGGTATAGGAAAGAGGGGAGAGGGGGAAAGAGATCTACAACTTTCACATCTGAGCCTTTATCCCTCACCCAACCTCTACACTAGTTCAATATCTCAGGATCTTTTATACAAAATATTAAAATTGCCTTTTTCTCCAAAAATTCATTGTATATTTTCCCTCTTTCTCACTTGCATACAAAACAAAAACCTTCTAATACAAATTTTGACATCAGCCAAATCCAAAAATGTATGTTTCATTCTGCTTCCTGAATTCATTACCCCTCTATGGGGATAGGGTAGTGTTGTAATATGTTTCTATTGGAACTCCATGCTTTAAGTATTTTTCCTCTCCCATCCAACCTCTATCAAACCTGGTCACTTTATTTTTTTTAATGTACTGATCTAACTATGACATTTCCTTGCTAAAACATCTTCAATATCTCCTTTTTGCCTCTAGAATAAAATTCAGTCTTCTCTATTTGACCCTGCCATATGTGTACACTCAATCTGTCTCAACTTACTTTTCTGTTTTATTGAAACTA